ACATTAAACTTACAGTTATGATCGGTGTCTGAGCTGCACTTCAAACTCTTAGTGGAAAATGTTTACCACTCAAAATAGAGCTAAATAATAATAAAAAAAAAACATATTTGTGGATTTATTTAACATTTCATTTTACACTTGGTGCCCTAAAACTTTCTGCATCATCACATAACATTTGCAATCCTACTGTCAGCTTTTTTACTTGTGTTTTTATTTGTGTTTTCACATTGTAATCGGTGGCTAAATTGCCAAATGTTTCTCCAGGTATTTTGCTTGTTTCACTTTTTGTGGTAAAAGGCAGAAAATATATGAAACTGGATTTAAATGGAAACATTTGAAATGGTACATTGTTAGCTTTCTACAAGCTTCTTCTGAAGCATGCTGAAATATGCTCCCCTGTTGCACATGTAAAGATGTGTAGCAGCTTCCACAAAGGCTGAAATACAATATTTCAAATTTAATTATTTGTTATAAATGTTGTATTGTACAAGGTGAAACTTATATATGCATTTTATCCCTTAGGTTCATGACCTAAGGCTGAATGAGAACAAACTCAAGGCAGTGCTCTTTACCTCCATGTACCGCTTTACAAACCTAACTGATCTCAATCTAACCAAGAATGAGATAAGCTACATTGAAGATGGAGCCTTTGCTGGACAGGSAAACCTACAGGTCAGTAACCAACATCAGAACTTCGCATGTCTCTTTTCTAAAAATGTGCTGCTACAATCCACAGATATAACAAACCTTTGCTTTAACAGCAGAGATATATTTGTGAAAATATTTGTTTGTTTTATTATTTTTTATTTTATTTTAATTAAAATGTTAAATKATAGTGGTCAATTGTTTTAATCATAGTCTCATTAAGATAAAATGCTTAATGAGTGTGGCCACAGAAACAACATAACTATCGCCCCACAGTGTATGTGATTTATTTTTTAGAATTTAAATTCTGATTCCATAATTCAGTGCAAAATCTGGAAACTTCCAAATGTAATAAAGTCCAACTGCAGCCACAATATGTTAGTTTATTTGCTCTGCTATTTTTGATAACGTATTTCAATAACTTTATATTTTTTGTCAGGTTTTGCAACTAGGCTACAACAAACTGACCAACTTGACTGAGGGCATGTTAAGAGGTCTGGGCCGAATGCAGTGCCTGTTTTTGCAACACAACCTCATCGAGGTCATTGCCACCAATGCCTTCTGGGAGTGCCCCAGTCTTAGCAGCCTGGATTTGTCTTCAAATAAGTTGGCTCGTCTTGATCCTTCTACCTTCACTGTCCTCAACAGGCTGATGGTTTGTGAACTTGCAGGAAACCCTTTCCACTGTGGCTGTGAGCTCTACAGCTTTTTGACTTGGCTAGAGGAGTTTAATAATGTCACGCATACCTATGACCGACTCCAGTGTGAAACTCCTCCAGAAATGATGGGATACCCACTCCTAAGCCCAGTGCCTGGACATGGGAGAAATGCTCGTCACATTCTTTTGACTGTCTGCCGCGACGGTGTGATTATTCCAGGAATGACCCCGCAGATACCAGATCCAGATGGCTCAGGGATGGGTTTGGACCCAGATCTCAGTTTGTACCCCCAGCCAACCATCACATCTACAGCTGATCCCAACTATAGCAGTCAGATTTCTATGAAGCTTGAAACAGTCTCCCTTTATACTGCTTTTATAATTGTACAAATTCCAAATCCCTACAGTAAGATGTATGTCCTCTCTCAGTATAATGACACTGTTTCTACAGATATCCAGCCAATTAAAAACAAAAGGGAAGAAATCAAATTGGAGAAACTGAAACCACACACAAACTACACTTTTTGTGTGGTTTCTGTCAGTAAATCTCAGCGTTACAACCATACCTGTTTGTTTTTTACTACACGGGCTACAGGGCCAGAGGATCACCGTGCCAATCCATCCACAACTACCCACTACATTATGACTATCCTAGGATGTCTTTTTGGAATGGTCATTGTGCTTGGATTTGTCTACTACTGCCTCAGACGACGACGCATACAGGAGGAGAAAGAAAAAACTATCTGTGTGAAGAAAACAATTCTGGAAATGAGGTAGGAGACAATTTGAAATGTTTGTGTATGCAATTGTTGTAGGGCAGATTACATACATAAAACCTATTCTATTTGTCCTTAAAGTGTATATTTTTCAAAATGACGTGGATATAGGTTTCAAATTTGTATTATTGCATTGTTTTAGTTTTGTTGTTTATTCTTGAAATAATCATGCATTCTAAATACAAGCAAAAACATATTTCTAACAATTATTAAGCAATGTTTTGGTGAAACTATTTACCAAGTTCTTGAAGGTTTACCC